CATTTAGGAGATTTTAAATATTTAGGAGATTTTGGAGTTTCTTGGCTTACTAAAGTCTTTAATATTATTTTAAAAATTAAAATGCTGCCCAAGGAGTGGAGGAAGAGTATTTTGGTCCCCATTTTTAAGAATAAAAGGGATGCACAAGAGTGTGCAAATTATAGAGTAATTAAGTTGATGTGTGAAACTTTAAAACTATGGGAGAGGGTAATTGAACATAGGTTAAGACACATTACAAAGATTTCTCATAATCAATTTGGATTTATGCCGAACAGGTCTACTATGGAAGTTATACATTTATTGAGAGGGTTGATGGAGAAGTTCAGAGATAATAAGGAGAATCTACATTTGATTTTTATTGATTTAGAAAAAACTTACGATAAGGTTCCAAGAGATATCCTTTGGAGAGTTCTTGAGAAGAATGGTGTTGATTGATAGGACTTATATTCAAGTCATTAAAGATATGTATACTAGTTACTTGTGTTCAAACTGAAGGAGGATTGACCAAATATTTTTTTTTAATTCTGTTGGATGACATGAGGGCTCGACTTTAAGCCCATATCTTTTTGCTTTAGTTATGGATGGTCTTACTGGACATCTACAGGAGGATGTACCTTGGTGTATGCTTTTTGTTGATGATATCCTTTTCGTGGATAAAATGAGAGAAAAAGCCCAGGAAAAACTTGAATTATGGAGGTCTACATTGGAGTCTAAAGGCCTTCATTTAAGTAGAGCTAAAACTGAATACATAGAATGTAATTTTAGTAGTAGTAGCTCTAGTGACAGAAGTGTGACTTTGGGTGATCAAATTATTAAAAGGTGTGAATGATTTAGATATCTTCGGTCTGATGTTCAAAACGATGGTGATGTAGATGGAGATGTTAATAGTTGAATTCAGGTTGGTTGGTTGATATGGAGGAATGCTTCGGGCCTTTTCTGTGATTAAAAAATACCGCTTAGACTGAAAGGAAAATTTTATAAGACGGTGGTGAGACCTGCAATGCTCTATGGCATTGAATGTTGGCGTTTAAAAGAGAAGCATAATAATAAGTTAAGTGTTGCCGAGATGAGGATGATTAGGTGGATGAGTGGCTTTACACTTAAAGACAAAATGCGAAATGAATATATCTGTGATATGGTTGGTGTAGCTCCTGTGATGGACAAAATTAGAGAATTGTTTTGTCACATTAAACATCGACCATCTGATGATCCGATTAGGAGAGTTGATGTTTTAGATTCGACTTGTGTTAAAAAAGGCAGAGGTAATGCCTAGGAAGACTTGGGCTTATTGTATAAAAAATGATCTTAATTTACTAGAACTAAATGAAAATATGACACTAAATAGGATGCAATGGAGAAAAAGGATTCATGTAGCCGACCCCATGATTAGGAGAGTTGATGTTTTAGATTCGACTTGTGTTAAAAAAGGCAGAGGTAGGCCTAGGAAGACTTGGGCTTATTGTATAAAAAATTATCTTAATTTACTAGAACTAAATGAAAATATGACACTAAATAGGACGCAATGGAGAAAAAAGGATTCATGTAGCCGACCCCATGTAGTGGGATTAAGGCTTTGTTGTTGTTGTTGTTACCTCATTTCCGATCATCCGCGTCTTCTATAAACATATCCTCTTATATTTTTCATCTTTTAATTAAATAATTCAAACCTGCAATAATAGTTTAAAATAATGGAGAGATAAATAAATCTAATGAATGATCATACTTTTAAACTACAATAATATAACAAAAAAAAGAACGATATGCATGTTAGTCAGAAATACTATAAATTAATATTAAAAAAGTAGATAATTTACTTTTTTTTCATATATGATTTTTCATGATAGTTCATAACATTCAATACATTTTGCTATATCAGTAATATGTTTATTTTAATTTATATTTGTACAATCGTCATATAAGTACCATCTAATATTTTGTCAATTACAACATATTTATATTAATAATCTTTTTCATTTACATGAACGAGTACATAACATTCTCTAGCTGGTACTATAAAGGGATGAACTCAATCATTGTCAAGCATGCACATGCAAATATACTATGAAAATCATTATCTAATAAAAATTATTTTATTTTTATTTGCATTAGAGTCAATATTCTTATATCACATTCAATATCTTTGATAATTTAGTCAATGCTGAGTATACATATCATTCATATAATATGGACGAAAAATCAATAAAATCATAAATTATGAGTTTGTAGTGATTTCAATATAAGCTAGTGACAGTAATAGTAAATGCATATGGTCTAAAAGAAGCATAAATATTACTGTAGTATAAGAACATGGGCACTCACATTAATGTCAATTTATTTGTTCTTGGATTTGCCTTGATCCCAACACTTTTAAAATTTATTAACTAAATTATAATATAAATGTAAACTTATCTTATCGGAGTTTGCTCGAATCAATCTTCCTCCTTTAGCTCGCAGACATCACCTACGTCTCCCCTCTGAGCTGATATTCTATACATTGAGTCCTAATTCAATAAAATTTTCTATTAACATTAATTAATAAACACACTCATAGAATAGATAATTTATGATTTAATTTGCAGTATCAATCTTTCTAAATAGGTATAATTATTATCTAATGCATTTGATTTAGAGGAATCAACAAAATTATCATAAATTAGAAATATGAGTACATAAGTGATGTGCAAATAACGTTTCTCTAACTGTATTACGCCGTAGATCTCAACCTTTTATGTATTTACTCCTACAAACTAAGAATAAGATATTTATATATAATTGAAATATAATGATACTATTTAATGTCAAAATCAGCACAAATTTCTATAAAAATTAGGGCAAACAACATAATATGAATATAAGGATAAACATCTACAATTTGAGAGGTAGGAATCACTCACAATTCCTACAATTCAAGAGGTCGGAAACCTCTCCCAAATCCTAAACCTAGCACTCACAACAATAATCTCATGCTTAAGCATAATCTAAACATAATAAATCTATTTATACCCAATAATAATAATAATAAAATATTAAATTGCCATTAGGCATATAGAAGACAAAATTGCTTTTAGGCTAGGCACCAGCGTAACAATACTCCTAAAAGACACACTGTCCTTAAGATGAGAATAAGTGAGTGTTTCTTCTCCACCACAACTATCTCTATTTCTTAATCCTCTACCTCATCGTCATGAATTATTGAATTTGTGGTTTTTGTTCTTTACAATGGTGTCCTGGGATAAACTTATCATCATATCAAAAACATAAGCCTTTGTTCTCTTCTCTTAAATCTCTGCCTCTGTAAGACGCTTGAGTATCACTCTCAGTTGTGGCCTATTTTAACTATCCCGTGCAGCCTCCCTTTGGATTTCCACGGTTTGAGTTTTTGATATCGTCGTGCTTGTACCAATTCGATATGGCGCTTCATTTGTGCTCCTTCTACTGGCCTTCTCAACTTGGTTGTCGTCCTCCACCATCTGGTCTAGCCTCACAATCTGTTCTCTTAATTGAAGTCTGAATGTTTCTTGCTTAAAAGATCATCTCAAGTTCCGTGTCATCCTTCGAGATTCATGTCAAATGTTGGGAATTTGTTGACGATGTAGGAATTATATTAATTTTACATAGTTATCTTCTTTTAAATTACATATATAAACTATAATTACTCTCTTTACCATCTCTAATTTGATAGTTAACACAGCTTGATAATTAATTTTTTATCTTTTTAATTGCTTTTACTCGAACATTTAAACTTCTCAACTTTTGTTAAAATCTTAAAATCAAATAAAATCACGTGGTTTTCTATTAAATATACATATCCTAAATTCTCTTATTCCTTTTCTGAAATTTCATTTTTTTATATTATTTCTTTCATACTTAAAAGTCTAAGAAAATTAAATAGGGAGTTAAAGAACAAACTTAAGATTTATTGTTTCAGAATTGAAACTCAATCCCAAAATTCTTCTTCTTCTGCAGCTATTTGGCAAGCCAGGGTTGCATAAAGCCAATGTGTGATCTCTTGACTTGCTCTGATCCGAGAGTCATAAGAATCTGCCTTGATGGCCTCAAGAACATATTGAAGGCCGGCGAGGATGAGAAAGATATGGGAAGGACCAATGGGATCAACATCTATGCTCAGATGATCGACGAGTGCGAGGGTTTGGATAAAATTCATAGCCTTCAGGGCCACGGCAACAATGAGATATATGAGAAGAGTGTGAAGTTGCTTGAGAAGTATTGGATCGAAGTGGAGGAGAACGGCGAGGAGAGCGCAGGGGAAGCATGTTTTGGATTTGGATATAGTTCCGCAACCAATTCTGTTAATGGTGATTTCAAATTCACCTGAATCTCCTCCCATTTCATGGGACTCATCTCTCTTTGGTTTCAGAGAGAATCATTATGAGCTTTTAGCTAATATGAATGTCAGAGTTTTTGGTCTTTTAGTTTTGAAGGTGCTCTTTTTCTTTTTTATAGTTTTGATTTGTTTGTTTGTTTTGGTGTTACTCTTCTGTCTGTTTCGTCTATGAACTTAAGAGGAGTATATTTTTTTTTCTTTTTTGATGAAATAATGGCCGTCTCTGCTTTGGGAACTGGCTTACAGATACATGTAAATTTTCATACACAACAGTTTTTGGCTGATTAATTTGCAAAATGGTAGTGGTTTTGGTAACTTATGAAAATGGATTGATTACTTTTTCCATTATATTTTATAGATTTGATAGAAAAACTCCTCTGTATTATATTGGATCAATGATATTGTTGATTTGTAATTTGATAGAAAAGCTCCTCTGTAATATATTGGATCAATGGTATTGTTGATTTGTTATATGTGAAGTTACCTATTCTTTTCCTTCAAAGACCCAGCAAGGCTTTTGGTTCACATTATTTGGTTTATTCGTTGACTGTACGAATTCTGGACAAGTATGAAAAATAAATGGAGATTCACATGCATATCAAATTTTCATGTATTTAGATGTTTAGCATTTAAATTCTAACATTTACATGTTGAATTCAAAAATGTAATGTGGATCGCACTTGAAGAATAGTGTTGGATGTAAGAGAGGAATAAAGAGAGAGAGGTAGTGCCCAATAATATAAATTCTCCGAGCAGATTCAGCAATTTTTTCATGAACAAATTACTCTTTTTTATAGGTCATAGAAGTATATGGTAAAGCTACATATGTCTCTATTTTAATTGGAATTACAAGTAATTATTGCATTTTTTTAAATATTTGTATGTGGTTATGGGATCTTTTGATTTCCACAACTAATGTTGGCACAATTTTGTATTGGCAACTTGCTAAAAAGAAGAAAGCATTTAATGACTTGCTGGTGTTGTCATTCGGCCGTTTGATATTGTTTGGTCAGTCAAATAGCTTCCGACCAAATAGAGGGTCTTTGGTCGGCTTCCTCGAGAGAATTTTTGGTAGAGACCCTCTTATCGTTAGGGTGAGCTTGAACCATCTGACAAAGGGTGCATCAACGTGATCTGACGGACAATTCTCCTTGAATAAGGGGCCTTCACAAAAGGTTTGGAAAGTTAGTAGGTTGCCCTTTGGTCATCTCTGTGAAGAATCCTAGAGTCGGTTGAGGGAGTTGTTTGCAAATGACTATCTTGCATGTCAGATGCATACTGCTCTTTAGTTTGGTCAGCTTAAGGTTTCGCCCGAATGAAACGATGCTTGTCGTCTCTGTATTTTGATCATTCTGATGCGGTCATTTGGCATGTTCTTATTGAGATTTGTTGAACTTCCTTAAGATTCATCTGTTCATGTTTTTTATGTACATATTTAGTTCCTTGATATTTTATTTCTTGAAAGCGACAACTATGATACGAACAACAGAATTAAATATAAAAATTGATTTATTGCATAATAAGTACTAATAATTGAACTTTGGATTTTTGTGTCTGTAATCCTATTACATAGGGTGTGATTAGTTCTTCTCCATCACCATTTCTGGATTTTCGACTCTTCAGTCAGTTCTTAGCAGAAATTAGTGCTGGCGAGCAACAAGAAACACACGAACGAAGAAGCTATGTTAAAGGCCTTCGGGCTTTCAATTGAGATATTCGTCGTCTCGTAGGTGAGAAGAAGAAACCCGTGAGTACTCGACCAACACCAAAGAAGAAACTTTTGGATGAGATCCGTTTGGTAGGAAAGAAGCCAGCGGGTGAAGGACGATCGATCCGTCTGGAGAGGCTGGGAGAAGGGATCCAACCAGAGGGAAAAAGGCTATTCAAGCAAGCTGTGCAAAAGAAACAAAGAGTGGAGGAGATGTTTGAGTTGTCTAACTCGTTGCTTCTCCATTAGATAGGGGTCAAGATCGATGTGCACACCACCGGTGCACCGATCATTTCTCCAGGCCTGGTCTGTTGGCTGCCGATTTATCCATCCGCACAACAATATGTGCAGGCGGTTGTTGTGCCCTAGGTTCAACAGCGCGAAGGTGTGGTCTCCTACTCCGGCTGCTGAGGCCAGTCAGGCGGCTTTCCAATCGCTTGCTAGTGTGAGTCTCCAAGTGGCTTGGGGGAGTGTGACCTATTAATTATTTATGTTTATCCGAGCAAGACTCACAAAAATGGGCTTGGGTGGGTCTCCAAGTGGTTGGCCAGCTTGGGGAGTGTGACTTAGGCTTATGTTAGAGATTAGGCTCTCCAATTTAGGTTAAAGCAAGCCATTAAGTGATGTTAAGTGTTCTTGGAAGAAACCCACATTTTTACCACTAAGGAAAGTGCACTCTAAGCATGATGTACAAAATCTGGGTGCTTTAATATGGGACAGATTTGGGGAAAAAAACCTTCGATTGTATTATTGGTGGGTTTATTGGGGGTCATACCACAAGTGTATAGCGGGGGCGTGCTGGTGGGATCGCGGGGGCCTGCAGTTGGATCTCGAGGAAATGCGAGTGCGAGTTGCAGGGGAGTACGTGGTTACAGGGGCATGCACACGGCCGTGGGTGGGTGTGCACACATAGGATTGTGGTGGGTGTGCGCACATAGGAGAAGCATACCAACCAAAGGAAACTCCAGAGAGGCTACTCACAAATTGGTGGAACGATAGTGATACATTGTCCCTCACATTGCAACAACTTGCTTGGAAGTGTGCAATGTGCTGTCGGGGTTTTCCGACCCCATCAAAAGTTTTGTATGTTGTCAACACAAAACACTTAGGGTATTGAACGACGTTGATTCTTCAATGTAGGGTCTACCTTTTAAAACTAATGCTCCCCCTTCAGAATGGGCTAAGGCCTCATTCACTTGTTGTTCCACCATTTGTTTGATATCCTTCTCTAGTATCATGCTTTGTACTGAATCCCTTTGTGGTTACTCATCCCTACTGGCAGAAGTTGGCTCTTTCCTTTCACTTGCAATATTGATAATCTTTGACTGATGCATCTATGGGGACATTACCTTCGACGACTGAGGTTGATTTTGTAGTGCAGCTATAGCAGCCATCATCTCCTCCATCTTCTTTTTCATGCGGTTGATCTTTTTCATCTGACTAATGGATATCCCTTTGCAAATCATCAATGCCATTCTCCTCAGCAGGTGGCGGAGTATCACACAATAATGAAGAGGACCGGGTCTCAACAACATGAATTTCTACGAAGTCTTCTTCCATGTAATCGGATTGGTCATAACACCCATCATCAAAATTTTCTTCTTGCTCTTTGGATAATTGTGAGATGTCAGCCCTGAGCTTCTCTAATGCAACTTCGATTGACTTTCCTTTGATTGCCTTGACATCGACCGAGTGTTTCTGATGAACAACCTCCCTTGCATCGAGTTCTGGCGTAGTTGCAGCAATGATATTCTTGGACTTCCAATCCATTTTAGGACAAGGGTTGTTTGGACTTTCAAAAAGTATCGGTTCAACAACCTTAGGTCTCCATACCGTTCCCTGGGATATCGATGTTTCACACCTTGATTTCCCATCGATAGAATCGATTTGCAGGGAGGAAGCATGGTCCCAATGTGCAAACCAGATACAGTGGCGAACAACCTCTTATTATTGCCTTTCTTTGGAGACTCCTCATATGTAGCGACAGGTGGTACTCTCGGTCCCAAGCGAGACTTGACCGATCTACGCTTCGTTGTAATAACATCATGGTGGCATCAACTGTAGCTGAATGGTCTCGTAGGTGAAGCTTGATAGAAATACAGGGTGGTGGTGCTTCGCTTTGTACTGATCTAACAGACTTGTATTCCCTTAAAATTTTATCTCTCATGTGCGGTGCAACGATGCATCCCAACCTTTTCAAGATCAAGAGCACGAAACATCTTTCCTTCCCGACCAATCTCTCAAAGACTGAATAGAATTGGGAAAAAGGGGTGGGCTTCTCCCTCTTTTTACCCCAACTGTGAGGTGGCAGTTGTCAATGTTGTGGAAATCTTATAAACACCCTCCTCTCTGCAAGAGGTAGATAACTGGTGAAACCTACTCCCTCTGAGAAGGGTTGATGTCTTGAAAAACTCTGTCTCCTCCGGATAAGGGGGTTTCCCTCCCTACAAGAGCCAACTTTTCAGCTTGAGCCGCCTTAGCCTTCAATTCTCTTTTCTTGCAGTTCCCTTTCTGAGACCGGGTCAGTGGCAGGGTCTTCGAACTAGATCCAATTTAAAAATATATAATGACATAGTGAAAGCATCAACTGAAACATCCTCATCCAGAATTTCCTTTCCTTTGACTGATGGGATAATCAATATCATCATTGTAAATCCTATAGCGGTGGTGGTGACAATCCTCCTTTCTCTAGGAATGGTAGGCAAGGTGGAAGCGGGAACAACAAATTTGGCATGAGTCATCCCAACTTTAGTCCTCTTGAGTGCGAGAAATTCCTGCTATCCATAAGGTCAAACCCAGCCGCAAGCTCCTCTATTACCGAGAAAATCGTCTTAAAGAAGACATAGGATGCCTTACTGAGTATGACCTTGACCTTGTCAAAATAGGCCCCAAACTTAATTAACGACCCTTGATAACGACTAGCTTTATCGCATGGCAAGTTTCCATCGAAGGAGAAGATCAGCTTTGGTGAAGACATTATCTCTGTCATTTGAAGAAATTACCAGAGGTTAGTAACGTCCCATATTTCACAATTTCAACAGAAAAATTGAAGTTAATACGCTGGCTTTATGAACTAGGTATTGTTCGAATTTTATTCATTTGAGTTTCTTTGAAAGTTCATGTTTTTGTTTTGTTAATGTCGATTGTTTGTTGTGTTTAAGGACATTATGTTTTGTTTCCAAATTTTGACAAACTTGTTTTGTGATTAGGTGTTTAAGTGGAAGATTTTGAGAGTGAGATTTTAGTTTAACTTGTTCGCAACAAGTCAAACCAGAAGAGGAAAAAAACGTAGGACCTAGGCCAAGATTTGGAGGGGGTTGACTTTGCATCAAACTCGCTACAATAGATCGCTCCTAAACTATGACATCTATTGCCCCTCTCCCCCCCTCCACTGACTAAAAACTCTAAAGATTCCATAACCTTCCTGTTTAAGAATGATCAAACAGGGGGTTCTAGAATCAAACAAGTAGTTGATTATGCCCACCCAAGAAAAAAATGAGCAAGGTACATCAATGGAAGAAAAATAGTATGGCCTACGAGGGATATGGACACACTACTGATTTTTGAAGACAAAAC